AAWWAAACAATGACAGTGTTCCAAATTCYCACAAATATTTGTGAACTTGGTTTTAGCATTTCCTTCAGTTCCCATGTTTCTGTGGAGAGAAAGAAGAAGGAAACTTTTCACCTCCCACAACACCCAGGTTTTGGGGCAACAAAACAATACCTGCTTTGTTCAAAAAATACAAGGAGGTAATCTTATGCATTTGATATTTTGTGACACAAAATAGGGTTGCTTTAAAAATACATTTTCCAAGTATACAGAGAGTATTCAAATACCTATCATACACAGCAATTTATTTTGTAAACATTTACCCATGTTGACGTTTCATCAGTTTTGATTATCAATTCACTTTTGCTTCAGCCTGACAGATAGATGGAGATCTTGCTAATGGCCATCCTGCTTCAGTGTTTATCTCGTTCACTTGTGCAAATCTGTACTCCTTATGAAGTTTTTAATGTGTGCTAAAGTTCCTGAAAGTTTTCAGTGTACAGTTTGGTTGTTGAGGAAGCCTCTAAGCTGGTGATCAGACAGCCTTTTTGAATTGTAAGTGCTGATTGTTCCAGCTATGTGTGTTGTGGAGGGGACTTGTCAGACTTTACTGTTTAGGGACTCTGCTTAGTTTAAATAAAGTCTCACTTAACTTTTTTTTTTTGTATGAACTTGTTTTGCTTTGGGTTATACTCATTGTGATGTTCACAGCTTAGTCAATGAAAAAGGACACATGGCTCTTGTTATCTAATAGTGTGCATCTATTTAAATAGCAGCTAACACAGCTTAGCAAACTGCAGCTGTGATGGAAATACAGTTAGGTCCATATCCATTTGGACAKAGACAACAGTTTYCTAATTTATGTTCTGTACATTATCACAGTTAATTTTAAACAAAACATTGCAGATGCAGTTGAAGTTCAAACTTTATTTCAGTGGGTTGAACAAAATGCATAGAAATGTGAGGCATTTTTAAACACAATCGCTTCGTTTTAGAGGCTCAAAAGTAATTGTACAAATTGAAAATTTATAAACAAAATATTCATTAAAAACCCTTTGTTGGGCATCATCAGACACTGTCTTTCCTCCTTTTTAATTATCTGCACGGCCTTTACTGCAGCGGTTTTCARTTGCTTTTTGTTTGTGGGTCTTTCTRTCTGAAGTTTAGTGAAATGCTCAGTTGGGAAGAGATCAGGTGAYTTGAAYTGGCCATTCAAGAWTATTCCACTTCTTTTCTTTAATAAATTCCTGGGTTGCTTTGCTTTGACTTTGTTTTGGGTCATCGTCTATTATGAAACGCCGACCAATCAGTTTGACTGCATTTGGCTGGATCTGAGCACACAGTATGTCTCTGTATACCTCAGAATTCATCTGGCTGCTTCTGTCCTGTCAGATCATCAATAAACACTAGTGACTCAATGCCACGGGCAGCCATGCATGCCCAAGCCATCGTACTGCGCCCACTATGGTATGCTTTGGATCATGTGCTGTACCACACCTTCAACATACTTTTTTCCATTATTCTGGTAGAGGTTGAKCTTGGTTTTGTCTGTCTAAGTAATATTCTTTCAGAACTGTGCTGGCATTTTTAGATATTTWGATGTAAGTGCAATCTAGCCTTTTTATTCTTGAGGCTTATGAGTGGCTTGGATATTGATATGCCTACCTCCTGGAGAGTGTTGTTCATTTGGTTGACAGTTGTGAAGTAGCCTGGTTAAAACTAGACTCTGTCCTTCACTTTGCTTCATACAAGGGTCTGGACTTGCTGAGTAGAAAAGCGTTTCTTGCAGGAGGCGTGGCCTCGGCTGAAGCATGTGTGTGTTGTCGGTGTGAAGGAGGCTAAGCTAAGAAGCTAACCGGAAATCGAATGTGCTGTAAACAACCCTACTGAGAGGAGAAATATACCGAGACGACTGTAAATGAGAGCTGCTGCTTTGTCAGACAAATTTAATTTAATTTGGAAGCCTTATCAACACGGACTGGCTTCATTCTCTTCCTCCACTGCCGTATGCTAAAGTAACTAGCAGACACTGCGCAGAACATCTACTTCATTCAAAACTCCTCCTTCTGTTTGCTGATTGGCCCAGGTAAAATAAACTACAAGCAGACACTGCGTAGAAAATTGACATTCTCTTCTGTGATTGACCCGGCTAAAAGTCTGCCAGTGAAATCCTTGTCAGTGGGAGAAATCCCAGGCGGAGCAGTGAAGGGAAACTAGAATTGAGCAGAGCTGCATAGGAAGGTGAGGGCCAGGCTAGTTGTGAAGGGGTTTCTCTTCAAAATAGAAACTATTCTGTGATTATCCTCCACTGTTGTCATCTGTGGATGTCCAGGTCTTTTTGTATTGATGAGTTCACCAGTGCTTTCTTTTTTTCTCAGGATGTACCAGACTAGATTTTGTCACTCCTAATATTGTAGCAATTTCAGATGTTTTTTTTTACAAAGTGTTTATTTTTTCACAGCAATATGTTACAGATGCGAGCACATCTCAAATCAAGCCTTTTTTCTGCTTAATTGAGAATGACTGACATAACTGCCCACACCTGCCCATGAAATAGCCTTTGAGTCAACTGTCCAATTACTTTTAGTCTCTTTTTGAAAGCAGGATGGGCACATGTTAAGGAGCTGGACTCCTAAACCCTTCATTCAATTTTAATGTGGATACACTCAAATAAAAGCTGAAAGTCTAGACTTTATGTTTATGTCCATTATATGACTAAGACGAATATATTTCAGGAAGCAAGTTAAAAAAAACGTGTCAGTTTCAAAAGAGATATGGATCTAATTGTAAGTCTGTTTCACAAAATTTATTTTAGCTCTACATTAATATTTTGCATGTCAGCTGACTTCTATGGGAAGAGTTGTGTCTCTTGGTGAAAATATCATCAGTATATGACATCTGTTTACTTAAAGAGCTCACCCACTTTGATGATGTTGTGCTCAGTCAATAAACTTTGCACACATTTGACTTTTGCCTTCTCACTCAAACCAATAGATAAGCACAGCGTGACAGAGAGGTAGTTGCTCCGGTTAAAGCAAACACACAAGCATGTTTTAAATTCTAAATTAGTACCTACGTCTATTTATATTGACAGTACTACAGATGTAAATTAGCCTTAGGCAAAATCTGGTGCAATCCATCAAATTATATTTTAATTGCACACTGTCCCAAACAAATAGTATATTAGAAATGGATTTAATCCTGTTTGGTTTTTAATGCAGCTTCAATCGGTAGTTTTTCCATGGCCACATGCTCTTTTAGTTGTCAGTATTTCTAGAATGTGTGKTTTAATATTTAGCAATTTTCAACACCTCTGTATTGAGTTTCAACCTGAATTTGGTACTCAGTTTTTTTTTTTCATGTGTTGGACAAAGTCATCATTCATGGCATAACAGTTTTCATAGGGAAATTATGTTCGTATCGATGTCTTTCATCTCACTGAGTTTTAGCATTTGCATCATGCTTTGCCTTCTTGGTAAGATTTTATTTTACTTTTTTTATTTTTTCTACATCATTGTAAGACTTAAGGATTCTACAAGTGTCTAACCATGATTATTGCTCTAATGTGAGTAGTATTGTGGTTTTGACACCACAGATAAAAGAAAAGAGGTCAAACATTTCAAAACTAGAAATATACTCAACTGAGGGACATGGAGATGGAGAACAGGGCATTGTCCAACATTGACTGTTTGTTTTAGTGGCTGCTGTCATGTGGATCCATTACATGATAATGARGAAAATAGTTTTCACCTCTTCATTTCAATATACAGCTGTAGACTAAATAGTTTAAGTGTGTGTGTATGGCTTTTCAGTACTTTATTTCAGTTTTACCATTTTGTAATACCCTTTAAGCAACAAGATTAAATTTGAGTAGGTTGGCACAAAGACACTGACTTGCTAAAGGTTTTGTTTGGRAATGGAAAAACCAGTTTCATAGTGGGTGTGTGTGTTTGTATTGTAATGTTTGTTTTGTTCATCATATTTACAGAAAGACCAGTAGAAATATTTTTGCTACTTTTATCTAACCATAAAAAATCCTTTTAAGTTGAGACCAAAATAAAGATTTTCTCTTTTTGCTTTTCAGCGTCTCAGATTGGCAAGAAAAATGTTTTTCACAAATGGTGCTTCTCTAGTACATTAAAAAACAAAAATTAAAATACTTCTGCGCTTGGCTTGTTGCTTACCATTTTACAATAATTATCAGGAGAAGTTTTTTTTTACATTTTATTTAACCTAATAAAGGAATAAGCTACTGATTTTTCTGCCTGCCATTTGCCTGTATCGCCATTCTACTCTTCTTGGTTTTTAGTTTTTTTTTTTCTAAGAGCTGTAAATTCCAGGTTTAGTTTTGTTTTTGAATACATTTACAACATTGTTATTAAAAAAACAAACACTGCTAAATAGGGGTGTCCCGATACAATTTTTTCACTTCTGATATGATACCAAAATTGGCCGATACCAATATTTACCGATACTGATATTGATCTGATACCATATCAATACGAATCACACAC